GTATTAACATTACTGGTCATTACAGATGCCTAGATAATTGTTCTCAACCTTAGGACTAATTTATTTTCAAGGTAAACTCTCAAAGCCTTCTGTACTCATTTTTACAGCTAACCTAGATATTGCTATGGCAGAACCAACAATTGCAGTTAGGGCTAATCATTAAACTGCTATGCCCTTATAGAGTTTACTTAGACCTTAGCATCTACTTTATAGCATAACTTTGGTATTTTAGTATACTTCTGCTTTTTCTTCTGCATTTTTACTAAACTTCTAATCCAGATAGTTTGTATAGAACTATGACCAGTCCATCAGTATATCAAGTCAGCCTGATATCTTTTTTCTCTAGTTTGTTCTAGTAGCCTGGTTGGTAGTAACTTCAAGACTCTCAATCCAAAGGTTTTTGCCTGTCTGGCTACTAGGACCAGGTTTAGACCTTGGTATCTGTTTTGCTGAGCTAGCTTTTACAGTAGGATTATTGAAGATTTAGCTACCTCTCTACTCAAATCTTCCCAAATGGCACTTTTAACCTTTTTAATTATTTATTCGATTTAGTTCTAATAATATATTTTTATCATTTATTCATTTTTAAAGGTTTTATAGATTTTTTATTACTGTTAGACAGATTACTGGATCCCTTTCTTAACATTTTTTTATCGAATTTATATAATATTGTGACATGTTTTTAATAGTTGTTAATTTCAGCATATCTTAATTTGAAGTTGTGGCCAAATTCCTAATTATAAAATACAGGTTTTCATATAAAATTTCACGCATAATTATGCCAAATGAAATAAATATTTGATGCTGTTAAATAATAACCTCTATTTAAAGCATCAGGTGCTATATATGACAAAATTCTATATATTTCATATTTTTTTGCAATTAATGCTGTTATTAAAGTCTCAGGTTTACAATATAAGCATTATATAAATAATCTTGTAATATAAGTATATAATGAACTACAAATTAATTAATATAAAAAATTATACATAACAACCTGTGGTAGATTTTTAGAATTAATTTTTATATCTTCAGTTTTGACTTAAAATCAATTCTAATCCTAATCAAAAAAAAAATAAAAAAATACCAATCAATCTGTAATGTGGGATAGTAGTCCATTTCAATTCAGAGTGGTATGACTTTAAAGGATTTGTCATAGTTATTTGCAAAAGCAAAAGAGAATGTTGCCAGACCCAAAGGGCCTACTGATTTGTATTTTTTGAATAATTTCTTTGGATATATTGTTGTATGTCTAAAACTAAACATTCTGTAATCACTTGTTGGATAAGACTTTCATAACCAGGTTTAGTCCTCTTATGCATTGCCTGAATTATTTTTTGCCAAGTTTTAGAATTATAAATTTTTCCCATCCACATTCTTATAGTATGAACTGTACAATAAATAACAGAGCATTCTTGCTTGCCATTTTGAAGACCCAGAAAAGTGGATTTTATACTTTTTACCTCTATATAACTATGATTAGTAAGAAAATATTTAGGCACTCATTAACATGCAAACCATCAGATTATCTTTAAAGCCTCTGCAATAGTACTACTATTCTCATTATTTACAAAAAAATAGGCTTCACATTTCAGTATCTATACATATTACAAACCTATAATGTAAATAGGTAATAATTATATCTATTTGTTTTGTAAATTAAATCGATCAATGTCAGCTATCCATATTGCTCAAGATTATCAATCTGATTTGGATAAATGAAAACAAGACCCTCAGTAGATTGGCTAGTAATTTTAAAATGTTCAACTTTGTATTTTTGATTTTTAAGAAAAGCAACAGCTTTATGAATGTCCAATTCACCTTCTGATTACTAATAAGATTTGCATTAAGAGTGCTATAAAGCTTAAGTTTTATATTTAAAACCTCTTTACATTTTAACTCTTTAATACAATCCTCTAGATCTAGTGTTTTTGTTGCATATTCTTTCACTGCATTTGTTATTTCAAAAGGTTGACAATTCTTAATAGCTTTCAGCTTAACTATGGCCTGTACAGCTTGTAGATGCTTTAATTTTCCACTTTCTTCCAATAAGTGAGCATAGTCAAATGAATTTTTAAACTATTCTATCTTAATTTTTTGCTTTAGCAAATAATGTATAACTTTTATTTTGGCTAAACATAAGCCAGCAGATCAAACCTTTATTTTTCAGCATTTTTTCAGTAGTATTCTATCTTTTTATGAACTTGACAGGCTGTTTTTTGCAAAATAGCAAGTAAAAACCTTCTATGAATTACTATTAACTAGATTTCTATAGCTAAATACAGTCTATATGTTTGTAATGAGGGGCCACCAATCATTATCAAATTTTCACAGAAGAAAGTTTATTGGTTCACCAATATTAAAAAAAAGAAATGTCTCTGATTTGGTGTTAAAGTTTCAGAAGGGAGATGTAATAACTGAATTCATATCTATATTGTTCTATAAATATTTGTTTTAAAAAAAAAAGTAATAGTATAAAAAAAAATATTATTATTATAAAAAAAAAAAGACAGTTTCAAAAAAAAAGTATACATAGAAGTATCTGAAAAAAGCCTTTAATACAATTATTGTTGGGGAAACTGCTTGGTTATATAAATACTCATTGTCTTTTGTGTCTTTTTTTTTAAAAAAAAAAGTATATATAGGTGTCTTGATCTCAATTATGAAATATCTGTCTTTTGTAAAAAAAAAAGAAAATGTAAAAAAAACCCCTAATAAAAAAAAACATTGAAAAGCTTTGAGAACAATATATTTTTATATATACATATGGGGTCTTTGCCTTGAAAATGACCTTACAGAACATAGTAAATCATATGATCCAAACTTAATTTTCAAGACAAAGACCCCATATATGTATATACGTACTTATTCCTTATATAATAGATAGTTTTCAAAATCCCTTCAGCTGCTTGTATTAATTATCTTGTTTAATATTTTGATGTTTATTATTGTTATCTCGCATTCTGGCATACATGCTTAAGTGTATATTATATACTAATAGAGTTTCATAGAAACAAATATTTACTTAATGAGTATAACTGCTAGAGGTTCTATCAGAGCTATTTTGATCAAAGAGTCACATGATCATACCTGGCTTTAGCTATCCTTCATTAAAGTACTTATATAGTAGTACAAAAAATATATAATTATAATTGGTTAATTTAGAAATATATCAAAAAAATTTTTAAAAAAATAACTAACTTTGAAATTTTTTTAAACAATTTGTAATTAAAAAATAATTTAATTTTTATTTATAAATATATTTTATAAATCATTAAATATATATATATTTTTTTTAATTTTAAGCAGTTATACTAGTACTTTATTAAGATTCTTAAAACTATTATAATAAAATTTACTAAAAACTATCAAGCTGTAGCAAATCTTAAAGTGATGAGTATCAAGTGGAAAATCTTTTATTTAAAAGAAAATAAAATAAATAAAAATAACTAAAAATAAAGAATAAATATTTAAAAATGGAATTTAAATTCAATAGCCTTCTAG